AGGGACAAGGGAGAGAGGCAGGGGACAAGGGGGGTGACACAGGGACAAGGGGGTGACATAGGGCTGGGGGGAGTGTAAAGTGGTGTCCCACAGACTGGGGGGATTAAGGACTTTGCAGAAGATGATAATGGAATTACAGAATGGTTTGGGCTGGAAGGGACCGTAAAGCCCCCCCAGTGCCACCCCCTGCCCTGGGCAGGGACACCTCCCACCAGCCCAGGTTGCTCCAAGCCCCATCCAACCTGCCCTTGAACCCCTCCAGGGATGGGGCAGCCACAGCTTCTCTGGGCAACCTGGGCCAGGCTCTCACCACCCTCAAAATAAAGAAGTTCTTCCCCAGATCTAACCTGAATATCTCCTTTTTCAGCTTAAAACCCTTTCCCCTCATCCCATCACTCCCCTCCCTCATCAAGAGTCGCCCCCATCTCTCCTGGAGCCCCTTGAGGGACTGGAAGGGGCTCCAAGGTCTCCCCGGAGCCTTCTCTTCTCCAGGCTGAACCCCCCCAACTCTCTCAGCCTGTCCTCCCAGCAGAGGGGCTCCAGCCCTCCCAAGCATCTCTGTGGCCTCCTCCGGACCCGCTCCAAGAGGTCCATGTCCTTCTGATGTTGGGGTGATGCAGGGAGAGACTGGCATCCCAGGGCTGAGAAGAGGAGAGGACCACAGCACTGGGATTATGCAGAGCAAAGCTCCTGGATGTCTCCCACCAGGAGAGATGCAGGGACAGGAGGAGACAGACACACAACCAGCCCAGACAGACGTGTGCTTTGCTACAAGGAGCCACAACGCACCCAGGACTTTAAAAAAAATATATGTATTGAGGGCAAAATCAGAGAGAGGAGAGGCCTGGGCAAGTGCAGCCTGTCCATGCTTGCCACAGGAGGATGCTTTGCCCTCCTGGACATGCAGCTTGGGAGGGAGAAGCATCCTCCATGACCAGAGTTGGGGGGGGGGAAACGTCTGCAGGCTGCTCCGGCACTCCCACACGGAGGCTTTTTATGGACATTTCTGGTTAATTCT